TAATAATAAAACTTAATTCAAAAATACTTTGCAGAATATCTTGATTTTTTTATTTAATATTTGCAATTTAACATTTTGTTTTATATATTTACTGATTCTTAGAGGTAATTTAAATTGTATATACTTCCCTGGAAATGAGTCATATTAATATCTGTTTTATAAACTAAAGTAATATATACCTAATCTGAACTACTTTTAATGAATAGGTGATGGATTGTTTAGTAAAATTAATATATCGCTATTAAAAAAAAACATTTTTATTTCCTTTATTTTATTCGGAAGTTGGACCATATCATAAAAAATAGATATCATATCATAAATAAAAAACTTTTAATATTAAAGTGCATTATTCCCTCTGCACAAATGAAATATGGAAAGGGCGAAGCTATAAGTTCTTCTATGTAACTGAAACTGATTGTTAGTATTTGGTCTCAAAATGAGGGAAAACGCGAAATTGAACCCAAACATTGGAAAAATACATTAAGCAAACGACAGTGCCAAAATTTCGGAAAAGAAAACAAGGATTAGTATCCATTATATGGCTAAACGAATATATAGTAGACAAATGAACAGAATATTTCAAGATTCTGCTAAATGGAGGTAAAAATGCTTGATCAGTTTGGATGATATTAAGCAGGTTTATTGTGGTGACGACCATTTCATCAGCAAGAAAGATTTGTTCTAAGCAATTGGCAAGCAGGTCTGGAGGAAGTAACCCGAAATGCTGTGCTTATAAAGGCTACAAATGTATTAGAAAATGATATGAAAGGACTGTAGTTTTGTCCCTTTACAGGAAATGAGATACTAGGAAATGTTATTCGAGATTCCTTATTGTTTATAGTACCAAAGAAAGTCTACTCAAGAATAGTAAAAGCTAAAATTAGAAATATTGTCGAATGCCTGAGCGATATGGATTGAGAAACTCAAGTTGCACATTTGAACATAAGTTGCAAATTGGGACTGTCTTCACTTTAAGGTAGGTTATAGAGAAGTCCACAGAGAAAGAAAAATGGTTCTCTATCTGCTTAGTGCCTCACACTTTGGATTGACCGAATATCTACTAGTCTTTCACAAAAGCTCGTTTTCCTTTCAGATTCATTAAAAAAACTTTTGCAATTGCACTAAAGAGGAGCAGAGCTATTTCCTTTTATCAATAGACCTCTCTATAACCTGCTTCAAAGTGAAGATAGTCCCAATGAACTGATTGTTAGTATTTGGTCTCAAAATGAGGGAAAACCCGAAATTGAACCCAAATATTCGGAAAAGAAAACAAGGATTAGTATCCATTATATGGCTAAACGAATATATAGTAGACAAATGAACAGAATATTTCAAGATTCTGCTAAATGGAGGTAAAAATGCTTGATCAGTTTGGGTGATATTAAGCAGGTTTATTATGGTGAAGACCATTTCAACAGCAAGAAAGATTTGTTCTAAGCAATTGGCAAGCAGGTCTGGAGGAAGTAAACGAGGTTGATAATAGTGTAAACCACTTTATTTTAGATTGCTATTGAAGTTGTACATTGGGACTATCTTCACTTTGAAGCAGGTTATACAGAGGTCTATTGATAAAAGGAAATAGATCTGCTCCTCTTTAGTGCAATTGCAAAAGTTTTTTTATGAATCTGAAAGGAAAACGAGCTTTTGTGAAAGACTAGTAGATATTCGATCAATCCAAAGTGTGAGGCACTAAGCAGATAGAGAACCATTTTTCTTTCTCTATGGACTTCTCTATAACCTACCTTAAAGTGAAGACAGTCCCAATTTGCAACTTATGTTCAAATGTGCAAGTTGAGTTTCTCAATCCATATCGCTCAGGCATTCGACAATATTTCTAATTTTAGCTTCTACAATTCTTGAGTAGGCTTTCTTTGGTACTATAAACAATAAGGAATCTCGAATAACATTTCCTAGTATCTCATTTCCTGTAAAGGTAATACCACCCCTAACCAAATACTAACAATCAGTTCCAGTTACATAGAAGAACTTTGGAAGAGCTTCGCCCTTTCCATATTTCATTTGTGCAGAGGGAATAATGCACTTTAATATTAAAAGTTCCTATTTTTTATGATATGGTCCAACTTCCGAATAAAATAAAGGAAATAAAAATGTTTTTTTTAATAGCGATATATGAATTTTACTAAACAATCCATCACCTATTCATTAAAAGTAGTTCAGATTAGGTATATATTACTTTAGTTTATAAAACAGATATTAATATGACTCATTTCCAGGGAAGTATATACAATTTAAATTACCTCTAAGAATCAGTAAATATATAAAACAAAATGTTAAATTGCAAATATTAAATAAAAAAATCAAGATATTCTGCAAAGTATTTTTGAATTAAGTTTTATTATTGTAATTTTATAATTTTTATAATAGAGGCGTTCTTAAGCGATCTCCGTATAGAATAAATGAAGTTAAATTTAAAAAAAAATAATAAAGAAAAATAAAAACACAAATAATAAATTTAAAAAAAAAAAATTTAAATTAAATTATTGTATTAATATTAGTTCGTTAATACAATCAATAAAATATAACAAAAACGTTATTATAGCATTATAACTAAGCCATTTATGAGTACTGAGTGGTGTGGTAGAGGCCTGTAGGCACCCACGCCAGTAGCGCTTTTCTGCCGCTTAAATACATTTTATACGGAACTACTTCAAATATTTTAAAAAATAATCAGTGTTTTAGAAAGAGAAATGTATTCTCCAGATGTTTTATTTCAACACGTTTTGCATTATTGTTGACCGTTTAATTACAAACGACGCTTGATTTTCAACTTGAAATTTTTTTTGTAAAAAAAATTGACTTTACCGATTTTTTTTAATGCCTAAGCCAATTAGTTTTTAATATTTTTTCATGTTTTATTATTCTCTGACTATCCAGCTTTAATAAAAGACCAACTATAATGAAATTAAGCCATATGCTGATTCTCAGTAACAAAAAAACTAACTAAAGTCAAAGTCGTCAATCCGCCATGTTTGGACGCCATTTTGGGGCAGTTCGTTCACTTTTTTTTGTGGGAACATTGGCTTTTTTTAAATAAATTGTCACAAGGAACACAACGATATGCAATTTATAGGGATGTGGGGGGGGGGTGCACGGTAAGGGGGTCTGGCCCACAGACTAAATGGCCTGATACCGGTGTCTACTGTGGAAGCTACTGACAGGCTGGGCCTCCCAACTCATGTAATAAAGGAAGCTCAGAAAGCGGTGCTGCTGAATACTGCCAGAATTGTAAGAAGCTTTCTCAACATTCAATAGTAATTAAAATTGAACATACCTGAGGTGGTTGGAGTTGATTCTCCCCCTCTCAAGTAAACAAAAAAAAAAAAAAACCTTTTGTAAAAGTGTTGACAAATAAAATTAATAATAATAATAAAAGGCTTAGCGAACCCGAGGGTTCGATGCCGACACCACCAATCGCTTATTACACACCTCCCTCCACCGTTCGCCGTCCAAACCCACTCCCTTCAATTCGGCTTTAATGCAATCTTTCCACCTTCGCTTCGGTCTACCCCTCGGACGCTTACCATTCGGCACCGCACATATTAACCTTTTAGGAATTCTCTCGTTACTAAGCCCAACAACTTTACAAGCCCATTTGATTCGCCGCGATGAAATTACCTCAATTATATTACCCGGATACAGCTCACGCAGTTCGGCGTTGTGTAACCGTCTGAACTCTCCGGTTAACTCATCCTTCTTCGGTCCGAATATTGCGCAATACTTTATTTTCAAAAACCTTAAGACGCTGCTCATCCCGTAATGTAAGCGGCCAAGTTTCGCATCCATAAAGAACTATAGGCAAGATAATTGTTTTATAGATTCTAATTTTTAAGTTCCGGGACAAGAGGCGCGAACTAAGTAGTTTTGTCACAGAAAAATAACAAGCATTCCTCGCGCGGGCTCATTACCGCGTATGGGGAGCGCCCCACGGGTGGCGGATGTGGGGATGGTTGGTGAAAATTCCTTGGAAGTTCCTCCCGGCTAAGTCTGATGGACTTGCTGACCAACAATGAGAGGGGCCCTCCAGACTTGCTGGAGGTAGGGGCCCACCAGACTTGCTGGAGGGTGTGACGTAGGATTGAACGCCCTACTCATATATCTTTAGTTCACCAAACACCACAAATAGTCATGGATCTCCGTAAGGTAAAACGCTCATTATCCGGAGGTAAACTAGTCCCCCGTTCGGATCTCCGGGTGGGGACTGCTTTAGGGGATTCATGGCGCAAGTTGAAGTATAGGGATTTAAATATTGGTACGTGGAACGTAAGGAGTTTAAACACAGCAGGGGGGCTAAAATCGGTCGCGAATGAGGTAAATGGGTACAATTTGGATGTCGTGGCTCTGCAAGAGATTCGCTGGCCAGGGGAGGGCTCGATGAGGGAAGGAAAGTACACTATTTGGTACGGAGGAAGCGGGAATCATTGTTTAGGTACCGGGTTTCTAATTAGGAGTAGATTACTACCCGCTTTGAGGGACGTACAATTCTTTAGTGATAGAATTTCGGTAGCTATATTTCAGGGACGTTGGTTTAAAATCGCATTAATAAACATACATTGTCCGACCGAAGACAGTGACGATGAAGTCAAAAGTGAATTTTACGATAAACTCGAATGGGTTTATGATAAACTCCCGCTAAACTACATGAAAATAATTGTAGGTGACGCGAACGCAAAGGTAGGAAGGGAAGATGTTTATATTCCGACGATTGGTATTTACTTAATAGTTACTAATTTTCATTAGGATCTGAGGGGGGGATGAGTGTCTAGTTGAACTTTTGTTGAATGATTTGATATGGAATGACCCCATTTTTAAATTTATAATCGGTCATATCTAAAAATAATTACCGGTATTTAAGAGAACTTATCAGAAATTAAATATCAATTTTATTTTCCATTTATTGCAAAGATTATTAATATCTAATGAAACATATCGATATATGTATCAAAAATAACAATAATGATATGTTGACCCTATTTACAAGAGGGCAGGTTATAGTAGCGGGATAAAGTTGAATTTTGTCAGGTAATCATGGCTGGCGTTTTAGCAACTGAGAGAACTCTTCCTGGCTTTTCTTTCGAAAATTGTAAAAGGTATTGAATTATAACTTATTTTTAAAATACTTTTTATTATAAATACAATACAGTTCGAATATTTTATGAATTGACTATTATTTCCGAGTTGTCCATAAACGTACGTATTTGTTTATTTCTGTCTGTTTAAATTCAGTTACAAAATGTTTACCTGACATGTTATTATGCATAATCAGGCCCAATAATGATTATTTAATTATATTTTAGTGCTCTTAGAATCATGTAGACCCCAACATGACTGGACAAAAAATTGTGTTGTAAAATGTTGGGGTTTACTCATTAAAGCTCAGTTATTTAATTTTCCACGCCTGAATATTATTTAGTTATCAGCCAAAAATTGATAAGTTAAAATTTTTTTGTTTATTCCTCAACAATTTTACATATTATATAAGACAATTATAGTAGAGACGTGCTGAATGTTGATCAAACAGTAGGAGAAATAGGTAGTCAGAAATGAAATAACACACTAACAAGAAGATTTATTTTGTTGTGTGCCAACATTATGTATCATATATTTTAGGCATTCGTCAGGTTTAAACAAAAAACAAGATTACAACTAATAAGAATGATTGAGGGTTACAGTATGAAGAAAACTGTAACTAACATTTTAAAGAAATAAATTAAATGAAAAACCTTGTTTTGCTTAACCCTGGTGGAAGCCTGAAACTTGGGCTCTCAATTAAAGACTTTTTATTTGTGTGTAATTTTATCTCTGACTGGGTCGCCTACCAATTTCTACTAGGACATAATTGTATATTTATTTAAATGCTATACTTATTGTTTTACATAATTAATGAATTTGTTTTACTATTATTCCTTTTGATTTTGCCATACATCCTGTAGATTATTATCTTGATACTTTTACACGATTTGAGATTTGTTCATTGGAGTAGTAAGATTGTGGTTATAAGTACTATTCTGTTTTACAACTACTTATTTATGTTAGAACTGACATAGATTATTATTTATTTTGTTAACTGCTCTTCCAGGAAGTAATAGGTTAATAAGTTTTGTTGTTTTTCCCCTAGGAACTCCACCCTATTGCAACAAGGATTTAAACCTCCTACTGCCCAGAAGACTGGTACAACTATTGTTGGAATCGTATACAGAGATGGTGTTATCCTTGGAGCTGATACGAGAGCAACAGAAGGTAGCACAGTTGCTGATAAGAATTGCTCCAAAATACATTTCCTTGCTGACAACATCTAGTAAGTTATTAAATCATAATAAAATAACATTAAGATGAAATAATTAATCCTTCTTAATTAAGTTTCCGGGATGAAGTTTTTAAGAGATCTGTCAATTTCATGTGTTATAAGATAGATCTGCGATTGTTTTTTACTTTCTTCATTTTCTGGGGCAATACTACTTCAAGTATTCTTACATGGCCTAATCATAGAATATAATAATAATAATAATAATAATGCTTTATTTATTCTGGGACGAGTCCCTTTTGAAATATAGTATTGTATTTTCTGCAGTGTTTGATTAGTCACTGTATTTTTAGTTGCTGTGGTGCTGGTACTGCTGCCGACACTGAAATGACCACTATGACAATAATGTCACAATTGGAATTACATCGCCTTAATACTGGGCGCCCAGTCAGAGTTTCTACTGCCAAGCAGCTTTTGAAACAACTTCTCTTCAGGTATCAGGTAATTATGCACAAGTAAATTTATATATAATGAAACAGCGAAATTATTTATAACAATTCCTGATATGGTGATGTAAAACCTGTATTTAGTTTGGCGCATTATTTGAAAATGAAGAAATGAATCTGAATAAAACAATGCTACATACTATAGTATTCTGCATATAAGATCTATATCTTTAAAATAAGTAGTTTATTTGTTTCGTATATAACAATCTATGTATGGATGTAAATTCATAATGCAGTACATCAGTTATGAACAGATCAAAAATATGAACATTTTAAAAAAGAGTTCTAAATATGGTGTGATGAAAAATAAAATACAAAAAAAAATTAGTTCGTAAAATAATTGTTAGTTTTTTTATTACTTCAAAGAGGCTTAGATAAAATTAATTAATTAGTATTGGTTTTAATAATAAGTATTAGTTTATAATAAGTCTTAGTTTTAAGTATTCATTTTATTTCGGATTGGAATAACCAACAGCTGATTGGAAGGAAAAACAAAAGACAGTTTAGAGAGAGATGGCAGAACCCCACGAGTGTTGAGGCACTCTAAGGATTTGGTTGTGCTAAATAATTTAGTTTTATGGTGTACACTGGATTTTCTTTTCCTATCCATGAACCTATTTTTTTTTTTTTCTTTAACAGTTCTTTAAATTAATAGAAATAAGTAAATTCATCATTAGTATTAATAATATCCAGTTTTATTTTCTTATTTTTCTTCAGTTTTTTTTTCATGTTTTATGTATATATTATATTGTTTTTCTTTTTTTAAGGTTCAATTAGGAATTGTAAAACCCTATTCGAGGGATTAGGGAAAGTCATTATTAACCAAGTAATCAGGTTTGATAGGTTACAAGGTTAATTAACATATGTTTTTTTAAACCCAAAGGTTCCGAGTTCGTAGCTCACTCAGCGTCCTAATCTTTTTTTTTTATTAATTAAATTTATTTAATTTATTTTTATGGTTTTTGCTGTTTTCCAAATTCAACAAATTAAATAGAATGGCAATATTAATTGTCTCTTGATTTTTTTTTTTTTTTTTTTTTTTTTCGAACCCTGCCGTCTCCACTGAGCATCCGGCAACTTTGTTGTGGAAACGATTTTTCTAAATTAAAGCCATAACAATGGTGCCAACTCTACAAATCATTCTGTTACCCTTTGCCAAATTTTCTTAGAATTTCCTTTTTCCTTTCTAGTTATTAATATTAATGGTATTAGAATAGTCTTTCCTTTGTCTCCATAGGGACCCTTACAATTTAAAACTGCATTAATTAAAAATTACTTTGAACTAATGTTTTTTATTGAAGAAAAAATGAAAATCATAAATTGGATTGCAAAAGGAGAAATAATCATAAACTTTGGTGATCTTTGATTTTCCTATTTTATAATATTGAAAATTTGGAAATCCAGGAGCAAAATCAAATAAAAATTTGCTAGTCTAGCGGAACCAGTTTCAATCCAGCCAGAGCAGGTTTAATAAATGTTCTTGTACTTCTCAGTCGCTTTCTTAGGCATTTATTATCGTAATTATTCACAATGCTTTGAAAAACAAATGCTTTGTGATAAACATCTATTTAATAAATTACAGGAACCTTGGACTAAAGTAAGGGTTGCCATGCTAAAATATATATATATATATATATATATTTTATATAGTGTATTAGTCCTTGTACATGTGTAAAAATATAGTACTTAAATTTTCATCAGGGGCACATTGGAGCAGCTCTTGTAGTTGGTGGTGTTGACGTAACCGGACCTCTTCTTTATTCTATACATCCTCATGGCTCCTCTGAGTGCTTACCGTTTACAACTATGGGCTCGGGATCTCTTGCTGCTATGACGGTACTCGAATCATCATGGAAGCCCGATTTGACGGTAAGTGCTTATCTACTGAATAATATTAATTTTAATTCAAACATCATATTTAAATTTATTACAGTCATCTGATAAATCGAAAAGATTAATTCCTCTCAGTTGTCTGTTTGCTTCTTCAAGCACACTGAAATAACTAATGTATTTACGGTGAGAAAATATCTGTAAGGGTCTGATTATACATATTATTCCTTCAAATAGCAATATATTTTTTTAGATGGCTTTCTTTCCCAGTCGCCATTCAAGTTAGTAGATAAAATTGTTAAATGTGGAAGAGTCTTGGTTGTTTTTAGTGTCGCTCAAAGAGCATTCGATTTTTCTTTTTTTTCTTACTTAGTCCTGATTAAGGCTCATGAATTGGGCTGAAAAGTCAGTACACAATGAAGCAATATTGTACTCACTGTGTGTCTTAACCACAGCCACAAAACCAATTTCTCCTTGATAACATCTATGTTCAACAATATTTCCATTATTGTATATTTTTTAAATTAATCTTTTCGTAATGGTAAGGTATCTTCCATATTTTTTATAGCATTTCATCATTGTTGCTATGAAGCCTCTTGTGCTATCTTAAGTCAGTCATATGTTTTGGATTTAGTTATTAACAATATTTTATCTCTTATAACTCGTAAAAAGCACTAATGTGTTTAAAAAAAAAAATCATAACATTAAAATTCATCGAAAATAATATTTTTTTGTATTTATCAGATAAGAGGTTTCATAGTGGCAATGATAATTTTTAAACATTTATTAATTATTTATTTTTATTGCTAGGAAGAAGAAGGTAAAGTAATTGTCCGTAATGCCATTGCTGCTGGTATATTCAATGACCTTGGTTCTGGAAGCAACGTGGACGTTTGCATCATCCGCAAAGGTTCTGTTGATTATATTCGCCCCTTTGATATCGCTAATCTAAAAGGACAGAAGTAAGTTATTTTCATATTACTCAAATTTTGAAAATAATTTCAAATTTAAAAATCTGTGATGTCCACTCAAATAACTTTCCTTCCGATTTTAGACAAATTTATAACGCTTGAAATATTTTCATTATAAAAAAATAATATTGAACTAGAGTAGTTTTCCTGAAAACCGGTCAGAGAATTATAAGATCTTATAAGAATTATAAGATAAGATTTCTTTGATGAACTAAAGCAATGAACCATCATTAAAATGCCCTGAATTATAAAATTCAATGCCCTGTTACTTAGCTAAAATTGGTCAAATTAAAAAAAAAAAATTCTCAATTATATAAAAATGTTTTTAGTGTATATCATTTTTTATTTTATTTTTGTATTAGGAGTGTAGGAGGTTACAGGAGCTCTTTAATTAACACTAATTAAGCAGCTATTCATTTAATTACATATGTCTTGAGCACCTGTTACCTAATACCCTCCTAATGTAAACTAAAAATTTGTATGGAAAATGGTATTTATTCATCTGTAGATGGAAGTTTGATTTTACCTATGTGACAACAGTTATTTTTCGATCTAGACATTTCCTCTTCAGCACAATATATTAATTATATATAATATTTACATTATGTTGTGCTATAATTATTATGAAATAAAAAAGAAAGCACAATATAACGAACAACGAAAATATTAGAAATAAAAGGCTTAAGTTATTGTTGGGCTTATATGAAGCTAGAAAAATTGAATATATATTATCTTTACAAATTGGGAATACGAATAATTATAATTATATAATAATATAAATTTGCAATAAGGCGCAATATATAATATAGATTTTTAAAGAAATTAAAAGTTTCTCCTAACTGTTTTATTCAGTTTATTTTATGTTGCTAGTTGATTGGATAAATGCTGATTTTTTATCCTAGTCTGTATATAGCTAAATATACAATTATATCAAGGAAATCAATAGTTTTATTTTTCTTAATTTTTAATATTTTATAGGCAAAATAATTATCGCTTCCGTCGAGGCACTACAGGAGTTCTTTCAACTAGAATAATCCCTTTGGTGACAGAATCAGAAGAAATAAAGAAAACTGAAGTAGAATCGATGGATACATCTGCTTGATCACTTTATATAAAGAACATTATTACATTATACTTATATTGTTTCTATTTTATCTTTCTAGAAGTGAAAAATAAATAATATTTCTAAAGTGGTGTGTTCAATAGTCTTATGTGTTTTTTAAATATTATTGGACTTTTTTAAGTAAGTAAAATAATAATTTCCTATTCCGCTAATCAGGAAATATTTAAGGAAAAGATCACTCTCTAATTGGATGACTTAATCAGAGAACTTAAGTATTCTATAGTATTGAGGAACCAGGTAAACTCACAACAGAATCCCATCTATCCGAAATAATTTAGCCCGGGCTGTTCCCGGATTAAAATATGATCTCTCTGAGTGAAAAATTCTCAGCATTGTCATTTGTTAAGATAATTTGCAAAATGTATTGAATAGTTCTCTTATTGAAATATTTACAAATGTTTATAATATACGAGTGAGTGATTGTAAACATATGTATGTAATTTAAAAGCTTTACCTTACCACAGTGTAGTCATCAGTATGATAATGCGTTATGCTTATTATTTGCTCATTATTTACATTAGTAAGTAAATAATGATTTTTTGAGTGAATGGCTCAATCGATTTTCGAGTTTGATGGCTCAAATTAGTAAGCAAGATTCTTTGAATTACTGTTCATACAAATCGAGCTCAAAATATTAAGGAATTATTGCATTAAATAAGTCTGTCTGTCCATAGGTAGTAGGTAAAGATTTGTCGAGGAAGTGTTTTAACTGATTTTTAACAAATATTTTATTAAATTTCACAACCTTATGTTTGTTTCAAGATAATATATTTTGTTAGTTTATGATTGTATGTAATACAATACTTAAATTTCTAATATCAGAGTTACACAACTTTCCTTATCTCGATGGGAAGTGTAATACAAAAATTGTTTGCTTTATCTTATTATAAAGTCCAATTTATTTATTTCTTTTTTTATTAATTTGTACCTCGTCCATTACCATTGATAGTCAATCTGTTTGAATAATGGGCCTTGTGAATTCTAATAAAACCAAATTCATAGTTGCTAAAGAAGTGACCTCCCTCCTGGTGCAGTCACCGATCAATTTGAGCCCTACACATTTGAACATGTTAATGTATGTATATATCTATAAGGGCTCTGAAATAAACAAAAATAATAATATTTTGAACTTTGTCGACTAGGGATCAATTTATTTTCAAGAGCTACAAAAATAAGAATATATAAGTCATTATGTATTAATGATATAACTGTCCTTTGAAGCAAATTTGAGCTCAAGTAAATAAAGATAAAACAAAAAATATAATAAGCCAAAATTTCACTTCAATGACAAGATCTGCAAAGAAGGGAAATCATTCACAAAAGCAGACAAATTCAAACACTTCGGTTCCACAATAACCCCAATAAATTGACCAGTCGATAATGAGCTCAGGGCTTTTTTATCTCTTTCAAAGGTATTAAAAATCTCAAGAGATTTCAAATTAAGAGTGTAAATGCTATTATAAAGCTAGTTCTGATATATAGCTACGAGACCTGACATCCAGCACCCTAGAAACAAATATTGAAAGATTTGATAGCAAAATCATTTGCACGATAACCTGTATCGTAATCAAAATACTATGTATCAATATCTGTAATCAAAGTACTAACACATAGAGGAGAAAGGCCAATAAAGAACTGCTTAAAAACTGGTCAATCAATATCTCATGATATAAAGGTAAGGAATTTTAGACGAACGGGGTATATAGCTCGGAGTAATCCATCATGAAGCCTGTACATAATAATGAATAGAAAGAAAAAGACAAAAACCAGGTGGATCGAAAGGATCAAGAAAGATATATACTACATGCTGTTAACTGTAAAGAAATAGTCAAAGATAGGCAGAAGCGGAGAAGGCTGGTTAAAATGGCAAAAGATCTACATGGTCTATAAAGCTAATTGTGTAGAGAACAATGAAAGCCTCAATAGCTGGCAAAAGACCACATGGATAGATCAAATTGACAAAGATGCAACAGAGCTGTGTGCCTGATTACTTACTGCTGGTCTCGGCAGTTTGTATAGGTATTAAAATGACAATACTTGGAAAGCACCTATAGAGGCAGGCCATATAACCAGGATAAATACTCCCGATCCAAGGAAACTCCTTCAGGAGGATGTGGAATGCTACTGAGAAGCTGGCCTAAATTGTGGTTAAAGTTGATGATCTAAAATAAGATTCAAAGAACTTGTTTGACATTTGAGAATGAAGAACAGCTGCACTTTATCGAATGAATTGGTGAAAGTTACATGAGGAGATCAGGACGCAACGTTGGTTTTAGTGCCAATTAGTGATAACAGCTCACCTAAATTAATTGCTGGCCGAGTGAACTCAAGGGTCACAGAGTTTAAACAGTGACTTTTCTTTTTTTTATTTACCCTCCAATATTATATTAACTAATAGATTAGATGTTGTAATATTTGTAAATAATATTAGAGAGTAATAAAAACATTAGTTTTGACTTGATGTTACTTTCATACTTGTTCACTTATTAAAATGCAAATTTAAGAAGTCTCGAGATACTTGTCAAAAGATCCTTCATGATTATTCTTAGACTAAAAATATGGTTCCTATTTATTTGCAAAGAGTACAATACCTAGGACTAACTTTTGATAGAAGAATGGCATGGGATCCACATATTACAAAAATTTGCTTGCACAATTGAAATTTCAGTAATTTGAGACAACTTCCGCTAATATCAGGATTAAGCTCCCAAGCAGCCTGAACTGTCTTAAATTTATGAAAAATCCTGTATAGTTGCCGGATCTATATAGAAAACATTGGGAGTGAATATAAGATGCCAAAGTTTCAATAAATATATCATAAAAAAAAGTTTTCAGAAAGAACAAAACAAAATAAATATCAAACATGACTTAACAAAACCATATATAACTTACCATTCTAATGAGACCACTTCCAATATTTCTAAGCTATTATTAATGGCCCATTAATAATAAAAAACATTATCAATAAGTATTTCTCTAAGACGAATCTGTAGTCTGTGTAAAAGGATCATTGAAACTAAGATGTATTTAAAGGACTGAGCATACATTTCCATTTATAATATATACTCCATTAGGAGTCCCAAGTAGATCTACAGGAAGGGCTTTCCAGCTGAAGGTCCCTCCCCTCCCCCCAAAATCGTAAAACAACCATGTTTTATAGGATAAAAATGATCTCTTAAAGTATTATTGTTCGTGTAATTACATTTAATAGGACTTCAAGTATCACTTAAACACCATTTCAAATAGGTATTTAATTTCATTCTTTTTTTCTAAAGTAATTATCGTAATACATATAAAAAAAAAAAGCTTTTGGGCTAAAGCCCCTTCCAAAATTAAATCCTGAATCCGCTACGGCCAGGTGTTAAAATATATCCTAAATATAGGATTTATTTACGTTCGAAATTATAGTTTTCTAATTTAACTTATGGATCAGACCATTACATCAGCTCAAACACAATTCCGTCGCATTGGTAGACTATAAATTCTTTTATTAAATGTTCACTCACAATATCCATATAATAAAAACTATCTAATATATATTGATAGTGCCTCTCCACTCATTATCATCAATACAATTTTCTCTCAGTCTTTTTTGGTATCTAATGTTATTCGCAAGATCTACGGTAATAAAGTAGTAACTTTTTTCTATATAAATCCGAGGAAGAGAGAATTTGCAACATGAAATGGGAGATTGCAAACAAATCGGAGGGTTTTGTTTGAAATTAAACCATTCCCTTGGAGTGGGTTAGGCGAACATAATGCCACGGATGTGGGAGAAATATTAAAGCCCTTCACCCGAGATTCAATCCGTGGGCTTAACACGAATTTCTACATTTTTAGGCCGGGTTCGAACTGGAGCCGCTAGACTCAAGAATGTTAAGCAACACTTTAATATGTCAGACCACCATGGCCTCTTCCTTTCATAGCTCTTCCTCTTTCATCTAACCCACCTTACCTATTTTTCTTACAATGGTACTGATCTACGCGAGCAGCTAAACCACGCCAGCTTCCTAAAATTTAAATGGCTATAATTAAGTTGTGCCGAGTTTAATCGACCTTTAAACTCTTGATGAACTCTGCAAGAATTAAATTATTTGTCTGATTGAGATTCCGCGCTACAGGTTCGCCACACCTTCTCACTAGCTGATCCAGGATATAATTTTGGGGAGGGAGGGAGCTTCAGGGGAGGGGAAAAGGAAAGGCCACAATTTTTGGGTTTTCGCTTTTTTCTCAAAAATGGTACATCGCGGGAAAACTTTTCTTATAATAAATGAAAGTTTATAAAATACTTAAAACTTTTATTCCACAAGTTTTCTTCGAATTCTCAATCGTTTACGAACTACACGCACGGAAAAAGTTGACATTTTCGAAAAAAAATCATTTTAAGTCACATTTTTCAACAAACATTCCTTCATATCGTCTAAGCAATTCATCTGCGAAAGAAGTTGTAGAAACATAAATTCCCTATTGGAATATATATACATTTGAAAATTAATCTTCAACAAGTCTACACTTTCAGTTATTTCAAAATGATGTCATTTTCATATTCTTGACAAATAACTTTTGTTCATTTGTCTAATAATACGTGTGGCCAAACTTCAAAACCAGTTATTAAATAAAGTAGAACAGAATCATATTACTTGACAAATTTAATAATGTCTCATGATAATTTTATTCTATTTCGTTACAATAAATACATGAAATTATAAAGCTGATTGTTAGCACTGTTTTTCAAAACTTCTTAATATAACACTCACACCTTTGTATGGATTCACGTTTTCATCCTCTTTCGACGTGAGGATTCTGGTAAGGCTGTTCGTCCATGGCGTCTTCACACTCAGTAGTGGGTGGCTCTGGCTTAATGGGCTTTACGTCGTCTTCATCGTCGTCCTCGGCAACAGGCACGCTGTTGAGGCATTTCTTTGGTAGTGGAGGCACTCTGCAGAACAGGTCAGCATTGCTTTTCTGCATCCACATTTTTATTACAGATATCTCACACAGTATTACAGATATCACTACAATGAGCACCACTAAATGTCTTCTGTGTCTTGAAGACGTCGTTAA